CCATTCAGGGGAAAATATAGATATCCTGGTTTACAATCGCAGATCCACGTGCTTTTATTTCCACTGCCCGGATACAAGTACATGTTCTCGGGGCATCGACCTGGGATGTACACTGGAATTCTCTCCATCAGCTGGAATATCACGGATGAGTTAGACTCCAGTGGGAGGTGTCCAAAAATTTTGAAATTATCTTTTTATCCCTTTTCATTTATCTTTTAAAATTCCATATTCGAATATTCTTGATATTTTTAATTGACGCTCGTGGAGTTCTTTTATTTATAAAATAATTGGTGAATTGGTGGATTATGGATTATAACTTACAGGCCCCTTGCTTCCTCCTAGATGCGTGTGATCCTCGTCAACGGGGAAGACGATATCTTGGGAATGTATCAGCGAATTCAACAGCAAAATCCAACAGACAAATAACAATTTTCCGAGAGACTTCTCCATTGCTCTTCAATTCACTGTTGATGATGATTAATTGATGATTTCTGGTGTGAAGGGAGATGTTGTTACAAACGTGTAGTGGGCGTAGATTATTTGACGGCCAAATCCTAGATAGCTCAATGGAATTCCCCACACAGTGAAAGGAATTCGCCGACAGTCAAACTAATTATCTCTCCCGCATAACGGTATGTCGGGTTTTTTTATCCGGAAAATGACGATTCAATGGCTCAATTATAAATGAAGTCCGCGCAGAATTCAAAATTCACCGGAAAATTTATTCTAATGGAATTCCTGGGAATTCATGTAAAAAATTTAGAGAAATGATAAGAAAAAAAATTGGTGCACTTTCGAGTTCATAGTTCGCAATTATCTCGGTAACGAGACAGTTTGTGAGAAAATGTGATAAGAACTTCTACGTCGGGAATTAAATTCTCGAAAAAGAAGTATTTCTTTAGGTTTCGCTTAAATCCACTCAGGGCTGAGATAATCCGGTCTTTAACGGAGTAAGATTCATTTATTGCGTTTTAGTATTTTCCAGGTCAATTAATCTCTGAAATGTCATAAATTCCGTAAATATCTCATGTTTCTTTCTCTATATACATGATTATTTACAAGGACACATGCAGTAAACACATTTTTCAGATGATAAAAATATGTAACCTGAGGCATCGAGTGGAGTGCAATGAGACGAGAGAACTAATTTCTTACAAATAAATCATTTACTTATGATAATTATTTATGATTTAAACATTGTGTTTATCCAATGAGTCACATCCGGTAGATTCTGATTACTCTTCAATTATATTGTGGCCTTGGACCTGACACCTCTAATAATTAGTAATTTGCCAGAATTCCGATGAATTTTTTAATCCTTATAATTATTGGGAGAATTTACTCACGATCATAACTAACAGGATCATTTTCTAGAGTAATATTGACAGTTTAATAACAGAGGAGCGTAAGTCCCAAGAAATATTATCCAAGTAGAGCTGCAATTACAGTGGAGAAACAATTCTGCAACAGTCGCATGACCTGTGATAAACTCTGAATTTTTAGTTTAATAATTTAAATAATCACACTTGAATAATTTTCAAAGGAATTATCCCACGCATTTAGATTTTGGAATTGGTAGAATGAAGGAAATTAAAAGCGAAGGCCAGCA